TGAAACTAATAATATGTCAATTATACCTCCCCCCCAAAAAAGAGTAGTTCCTTTTTGAACCACACAGTTTTTACTTTCATCTACAAAGAGGCAGATCTTGGGCTATACTAGAAAAAATATACCCCCTTGACATAGGCAGGAGCCAGCTTAATCTGTCATACTTGGTTTGGATCTACTCCATCTAACCACCTCCCCCCACTGTGTGTGAGTGGGTATGCACACACTCACATGGTCCCTAACCTCGTTAATACTACGTCACCACTCAACTTTCACATGCTCCCTAGCCTAGTTAATACTGGCACCACTCATTATCTTTGACTTTTCTCTTTTCCTCATTACTGACACCAAGTTTTATTAACTACCTGTCTCAGATCATAATCTGTCCACTTCTCTCTTCCCTGATGCCCAATTCTAATCTGAATATCTCATCCAAATGAGACTTTACCATTGTGCCTGCCTCCGATCTCTCCTCCTCCATGCCAACCTAAACTACAAATGTGAGCAAGCCATTCCCTAATTTAAAAACTTCCAGGGCCGGCCCCGTGGCTTAGCGGTTAAGTGCGCGTGCTCCGCTGCTGGCGGCCTGGGTTCGGATCCCGGGCGTGCACTGACGCACCGCTTCTCCGGCCATGCTGAGGCCGCGTCCCACATACAGCAACTAGAAGGAGGTGCACCTATGACATACAACAATCTACTGGGGCTTTGGGGGGAAAATAAATAAATAAATAAAATCTTTAAAAACTTCCAGGGGCCAGCCCGGTGGCCCAAACGGTTAAGTGCGCGCGCTCCGCTGCGGTGGCCCGGGGTTCGCCGGTTCAGATCCCGGGCGCGCACCGACGCACCGCTTGACAAGCCATGCTGTGGTGGCGTCCCATATAAAGTGGAGAAAGATGGGCATAGATGTTAGCCCAGGGCCAGTCTTCCTCAGCAAAAAGAGAGGAGGATTGGCAGATGTTAGCTCAGGGCCGATCTTCCTCACAAAATAAATAAATAGAGGCTGACCCCGTTACCTTAAAAAATAAATAAATAAATAAATAAAAATAAAAATAAAAACTTCCTGGGGCCAGCCCCGTGGCTTAGCGGTTGAGTGCGCGCGCGCCGCTACTGGCAGCCCTGGTTCGGATCCCGGATGCGCACCGACACACAGCTCGTCCAGCCATGCTGAGGCGGTTTCCCACATACAGCAACTAGAAGGATGTGCAACTATGACATACAACTATCTACTGGGGCTTTGGGGAGAAAAAGGGAAAAAAAGGAGGAGGATTGGCAATAGATGTTAGCTCAGAGCTGGTCTTCCTCAGCAAAAAGAGGATTAGCATGGATGTTAGCTCAGGGCTGATCTTCCTCACAAAAACAAAACAAACAAAAAAACCCGAAACAAACAAACAAAAACTTCCAATGGCTTACCATTGTCCTCAAAAGAAAAGATACTTTAAATTGATTTTCAAGGCCCTGCTATGATCTGGTCCATTTCGTCTCTCCTTCTCAACCCTTGTTCACCACCACCACTCACCATACACAACTGTTGTTGAAAGAATACGCTTTCTAGGCTCATGTGTGCGCTTTGCTTTTCCTGTCTCTAATACTCTCCCCTCCTCCACACACCAATCCTTACTCATCTTTCAGCTCTCAGCTTAAATGTCATTTCATTTTGGATATTCTCATAGCCCCCCCTCATCTACTCCAGAAATAGCATTCATCATATTGTATAATTGTCTACTTGTCTGAACCTTTCATTAGACTACAAATCAGTAGTCTAGTGCACCCAGGAGAGTGTTTGGCTCAAGGATGGCACTCAAATCTTTAGTGAGTCAACAATTTGTTCAAAAAATGACACCTAGAAATGATTTAAATTAGCTTCAGAAACCTCAATTTGGTTTCACGTAATCTGTAGGATTTTGCTTCTTCATTCCACCCCAACCTTCGTCCACAACCCGTACCTATAGGGATGTTGTAGAAATTGTCACTAAAATCCATTCTCTCCTTCCATAGCTGCACCTGGCTGTTCAAGTAGGGACTACACTTCCCATTGCCTCTTGCAGCTATATGCAGTCATGTAACCAACCTCTCGTCAAAAGAATGTGAGAAGTGACACAACTCATTTACTTAAAAGGGCTTAGACTTCCAAAACTCCTCCCTTCAGGCTGGCTAAAATGAAAACAACTGAGTAATCTCAGAAGCCATGTTTTGAAAATGGCAAAGTCACTTGGAGCCCAAGTCCTTGAAAGACTGCAGAGAAGAGCACAGAACAGTTATGTGGTGAGAGATATGCTAACCTTATCAGAGCCATTACATTTTGGGGTCGCTTTGTTACAACTATCATTACTGTAAGGCCTGATACACAGTATATAGATAGGCAGATGAAACAGAAGACTTCAGATATTCAGAAATACTATACTGACCTAATAAAAATAAAGATTAGAATTTCCCATATCAAAAACAGCATCATTTTGATGAAGGGTCACATAAATACAGAAATTTGGAATTTTCGAAACTAGTGAAAAATATTTTCCTTAATGAGAAAGAATTGATGTTATTTGAGGCAAATTAGTAAAATCAGCAAGTAAAACAATACAAAATGGACAAAGAAAAAGAACTTAGTCTGTGGTGCCTGTAGGTCACATAATAAGACAGCAACTGGGGTAACTGCCACCCTACATACAACTTTTTATCCCCAGAAAAGCTAGCCCAGGGATAAAGAGACAGACGATAGACAATATATCACAAACCAACTTCTTAGAGGTCACAAACCAGCACCAGGCAGCTCAAAGAAAATGGGCAGATTCTGTACTTAAAAACATGCCAAGCTCATAAAGAAATAAACACCTAACAGAATGGACTAAAGATTTTAAGAGAGTAATGAGAAAGACAAATTACAGAGAAAACTAAAAAATAAGCATGACTTTTTCTGTCACTCTTCTTGCTAAGAAGCTCCTCTGAAGCTACTAGGTTCTCACAAGAGAATGGCCACTGGCATGGAGACAAAATGAACATACTAGTTTGCCATGGCCACATTTATCTATCTTAGGGCCATTACAAAAACACCTACTAAAAGCAGAACCCCAATTTTAAAACTTTCCAATGGCGAGAAGATGGTGGTTAAGAATCCCAGCATTGCATGGGCTCAGATGCAGACTCTACCACTTCCTAGGTGTATGATTCTGGGTATATTATTTAACCTCTCTGGGATTCAAGTTTCTTACCAGTAAAAGGCAAATTCCAACTCCTTTGGCACCATTCAATAAAAACTTCAATGATTTAATGAAATATAGCATGTAAAGTGTTTATTATTTACACCAAGCACTGTACTAAGAAGCCATTATTACTGTACCCTATGATATTTTCACTCCAATGCAGTTTTGTATTTTGTTTTTTAGAAAAGATTTATAATTGGCATTTTGAAGCAGCTACAAGTTCCCTTTACGGCTGAACTTTTCCAATGGTATCACCAAAAAGGCCACATTATAGTGTATTCCACATTTGCCAACACCTCAACACAGGCCTCTGGGTAAGTCTCTTCACCTCTGCTACTCTAATGCTCTTATAGAAATCAGGCATTAAAATTCCCATTTACTTCATGAGATATGTGATGCACATCTTGAAATATGATTGATTGATATTCTGATGATGAAATCCTCATAAACCAAGAACAAAGAAATTTGGGTGCTAAGAAAGGAAAATGTATGGCAGCAACAGACCTACTTTCATTCTCTCATATGCTTAGCAACAACTATAACATTCTAAATATTTGTACCAAAATTCAAAATTCTACGTTACTATAAAGCTATCAAATGCCAATTGATTTGTATTTTCTAAACATTATTCATGATTCTCACATACCACAGCAACTGTTGAGATCAGAAACACAAGTATGTTAGTAACATTCAAGGAATAAATTCTAGGTGATAAATGGAGATTGCCTTCTCTTCAACCTATAAATCTTCAATTCGCTGGCTTTTTCAACTGAATAGGACACTGATTTGCTCTCTGACAAGTGCCAGAGAATGAGAATTTGGCAAATATAATTACAATGAACAAATAAGTTTTTATTATAAAACTCTATATAAAGAGCTATAGAAAATGGGATAAAAACATTGTTAGTGAACAATAAATAAGTAATCCTTTGAGCCCCAGCAAATGATCTAGTACTATGATGGTGCAGATCTTTTCCTAGATTAGTAATAGTATACCTCATCAATAGTACATTCCCATGTATAAGTGAAAGGACTTCAACAATTTGAGCAATAACACACATAAAATCACTTTTAAGTATAATCTGAAGAATATTTAATATAATCCAAAGGCCAATTAAAAAAAAAAGCCATCATGTGCTCAGGTTTTGAAATTGAACTTCAAATTTTATTTGCCGTTTCCTACTCCAATTGATCCTTCTAGATGAGGGGTCAGCTCTGCAGGCCTTATGTCACAACTACTCAACTGTGCCACTGTAGTGCAAAAGCAGCAATAGACAATCTGTAAACAAACAGGAATGGCTGTTCCAGTAAAACTTTATTTACAAAAACCACTGTTCTAGATGATCTACAGCCTTCGGAGAAAATGGAAAAGGTAATTACATGTTCAAATAATTGGGGAAAAGTGTTTTTCTTTTTATATCTCCAATATCTGAAAGTTATGAAATATGCACATGCTGTTCTCCCTAAGATTAAAAAAAAAAAACACCAGCTATGTTTCATACCTGAACTTTTTAAACCAAAAGGATCAATCATGTTTAAATTTAAACATAAGCCTTTAGTAGAACTTATTAGCCTGATGTATCGTAATAATGGGAAGAAAATGCAAAGAAATGAGATTCATTTATAAGTAATGATTTTAAATTACAGATATATAAATATTACTATTTTGAGAAAAACAAGAGTACAGAGGGGCAGATTTCAGAAAGCACAACCCAAGAAAAATATAAGATCCACAGTCATGAAAAAGGTTTACCATTTACCATTCCTACTTGAAAAATACCCTGCTAAGAAATATAGTAAACACAGTTGGTTTTAAAGTAATGACTTTATTAATAAATATACATCCATATGATGATGTAGATACAAATCATGAACACTACTCCATTCCCATACACATAATTGCACACGAGTAGCTCAAGTTCATGGACATAAAAACATACACAGTATCTATTCAGACTTTTTACAGCAGAGGACAGCGTGCTTATATCAGTTAATTGGTAATTATTTTCTTTGTAATTATCTGTTGAAAAAGGAAACTGTGAAACTTAAAGAATCAAAGTGGTCTGATTACTATAAGTCACACACTTGATTTACTATAGTATTAAATTTTCCAAAAATTAAATACATTGTATGTGAGAGCACAGATTTTTCTACTTGAGAGAGAAGGGGGAAAAAGCAAAGGAAAGATTTAGATACATCCTAGAGTTTAACAGCATATCGTAAGCTATACTAAAAACAAAAAACATAATAGCATCAAAATATTTTATGTCCAAGGAAAAAAATGTTTTCAACAATTGTTGTGAATTCTTATATTTTACCATAAAGGGATCATAAAATTTTACTGCATATAGAGACAATGACTGACAGAGTAGCAGTTATCATCAACATCCCCTGAATTATTCTTTTAAAGCTTCTTAGAACATAAAGGAGAAGGTTTTTTTTTTCCCTTTAGCTCATACACTAGTTTTTCTTACACTGGATGGATCACATTTAACCTAATAAATGGATCCAGATAATCTTTTTCCTCCTTAACTCAAAGAGACTCTATTCTTATTTCATGAAAATATACACGTAAATTCCACAAATATTACTTTGGAATGAATATTACTTTAATAGATGTTTCTTTTAAAATGTAAATAAAAAATATAAAGAATTTTTTAGTCTAATTGAAACACTGATTTTAAAAATGTCCCCAAATATTAAAAATTAATCAGATACTTATTTTTTCCCAATATATTGTACCAATAATTTTTTAATATCCAGTGCAAAACTCCAAAGATAGTATCAAAATCATCCCATACTAAAGATTAGTTATGCAAGGTTATATCTGTCAAAAAAGGAAAATTTCATTTGTATTAGCTCCTTATTTGTTAATAATGATAAGAATAATAAATAAGGCATGTTAAAATATTTTTTAAAGAAAAAAAGTAAAGCAAACTTACTTGAATAGCAGATCATTTTCTGACCAACAGTTTTAATATAGAATAGTGAAACCTATTTTGTGAAGAACAGAATTACACAATATAAAATTAGCAATTTACCTTTCAAGAAACAATCATACAGTGGGAGGAAAAGGCCAGTTTCCCCCAACTGGTTATATTAAAGTATAGGCAATTGTTTAACATGCTATTTCAGTGTTCATCATGACAAGAGACAGTGTTACAAAAGAGGCCCAATGTAGTCTTTAGATTATAGAGAAGTAAAAATATTTTATATTTTAAGACTTCATTCATGTTATCACTTAGATGTCTTTCTCTTCAGCATGGCACCAATAAACTGTTCACAAGGAGAAAAAGAAGTGGAATCAGGAGATGTTCACCAGTATACATATCTAATACTTAAGGTAACTGTTCACATAAACAGAAAACTCAGCTTTCTTAATGATGTTATCCATTCACAACTGCAGCCACTTGCCCCTTTTTTTTCCTGGGACATAACTCCTGATATTAATAAACACTGTTATGAATATACTTCCTTTAGTTGATTTCACCATTTCATTAACATGTATACAAAATTCATTATACAATAATACACCTGCTTTATCTTCTGACACACAGCACAGCACCACTGAGTAGGTGTGCTGGAGGATGGGGAAAGGGGGAGGGGAATGAATGTAGGAAAGGGCAGGGAAAGAGGGAAGGGTCTGTATAACAAAATCAGGAATGAAAATAAACTGAAAGGGAAATGTCAAATGGACATACTAGAAAACACAAAATGCAACCAAGTCTTGACAATAGTATATATTATTCTACGGTAGAACATTTAACTAAACAACTGTTTTCAGGAAACCAAAAGAGGATTTCTAAACAGCCAACTGCTAAATCTCATCTTGAGAAACACTTAAATGACAGATACATAATAAAAGTGGATAGATGAACTATGAATAAAGATGTAAGCATTTGTGTGTGTCAGAAGTTATACTGTTCTGGGTACATTATTAGAAGTTTTATATTTTAAGCTTCTGCAAGAAGAAACTCTTGTAGCAATTTAGCTGCCAGAATGTTACAACTGATTACGTAGTCATCCAACATTGTTCTCTATGGTTTGTGCAAAGCTAAAATTGTTGAGGTCACTGTCTTAGATGCCAGTGCAAACACAGTCCCCACATACAATGCAACACCTCTTACTGTAAAGAGCAGCATAAAGTCCAGCTCATTGTGTCAGGCATCACTGGAACACCTGAAGGCTTGCTGCTTTTTTCCTGATAAAAAAGGTACGAAACATGACATCCGTTTGCAATCAGAGTTTGCATTAACTGAGAGCAAGCCCAAACACAATATGCGCCCTTTTAAAATCTTAATTATTTTAAAAGTTTTTGGGGCCTGCAAATCTACATTATAATCTCAAAGGCATTTAAAATTGCAAATACATACATTGTAACTTTAAAGTTCAGTGGAATTTTTTTTCAAATCCAAAGTTTATAATAGTTTATTTAGAACAAACTCAGAATAAATAAAATGTATATTAACAAAGAATATTACTTTCAGAAAGGGGGGAAGAGAGATTTCCCTCTGTCCCTACTATACATAGCTACCCAATACTTTTTTTTCTTTTCTATCTTGCTTCTAAAGCAAATATTGTTGGAAAAATGTTTTCTTTTGGATGAAGTGGTCTCACCGGAGACACAATTAGATTTTTAATTAAACTAACCAACATATTTTTACATGTTTCATGCATAGATGGATTCCTATATATTTCTTAATTATTTGGGTTCTGACAGTCAAAAAACTGCATTTTGTTTACAGCAGTTTTACAGTCTACCATTCATATTGTGTCCTTTGGTAGATATGAACCTGAAACCACAGTAAGTGCTAATGCAATGGGACAATTTCTCAGAAAAAACCAACGTTAATAAATGTTTTAAGTATATGAAAGGCAAAATGTAGTGACTATAGCTACATGCAGACTTTAAGAATGTTTCTTTTTCTATTATATTAAATATGCTATTCTCAGAATGCATTGTATTTCACCAAAAATGTAATGTGCAGTTTTTATAAAAAAGTTTAATTTTCTTGTAAATATGAATTGTTTGTAGTGTTTGGTATATATGCTCTTAAGCAATTAAAATATACACAACCTATCAATGCTGAAAGGCAAACACTAAAGAATTCCTTTAAGAATAATAGTTAAATCAATTAATGCCATGTAGATCAATAAATAAGAAGCTGCTTAAACCTAGAACATTAAAAATAAGACCTTTAACATCTGAAGTCTATGTAAATGCCAAAGCATAGAAATATGTGTCCTGTCTCATGAAAATAAATGTCACAAAACTCACAGCCATTACCTCAAGTAATCCTGAATCATTAATTTGCTTTGTTCCATCAGTTAAAAATACCTTAGATATTATCTTTATTATATTATAGACTTACTTCACAAACTAATAGGTATAATGGTTTTAGTCATTTAGCACATAAAGCATCTATTTAGAATGGCTCAAAAATAGTAATGAAATATGAGACACAACCATAATTCTAAAGGAAAAGCAAAAATGATTTAGTTAGGTGTAACACTTGAACCTATGTACAAATCCAATGCCACTGCTCATGCCCTGAGTGCATCTCTCAGCATATGGCAGTTTCTGAGCAAAACCAAGAAAAAAAATCAAACGGGAAAACAAATTTGGAAAGCCCAGGCCATAAAATCATGTATGTCATAATAAAACCAAGAAGCTTTGGGATTATTCACAATCTTCCTTCTAAACCTAGCCCTCCTTTCCTGCCTCGTTCACTCACTGGGTGGCTTGACTTCGCTGCTGGTTTCCTCTACCCCGTGAACCGCTCTGCCATGCATCACGGGGTAAGGAAAAGCAGCAGTGCCACAACCATAACCAAGATCGGCAAGACGGGATAGAGCTTTAATGCTACCTGGAGGTCTCCCTGGGCTGACTTTGTATCCCGCAGCTTTAGTTGTACCCAAAGGTCTGCCTGGACTTGTCTTAAATCCAGCCGCTTTGGTGGTTCCCAGGGGTCTGCCTGTGCTGGTCCGGTATCCTGCTGATTTGGTCGTTCCTGAAGGCCGGCCACGCTTACCAGATCGGTTGAGATTTTTCTTTTTCTTTAGTTCATCTTTTATCTCTATGCTTCTGCCACTTGTAGTCTGCAAGTGTGTTTCATTTAATGGGTCTTGCCTCTGACAAGCCATTGGTTTGTGGCTGACTGTGTGGCTGTATTTGCTTTGCTGGGAGGAATATATGTCAAACTGATCAGCAGCTCTCATGGCATCTTCACTGAGGCAGGAAGGCTTCCCAGGCCCACAGAAAGCCGGATTACTGCTGGCAACAGGATGCATCATTGTCTACCAAAAATAAAAGACAACTATGCGTAAATACACATATACAAATATATATCTGTGTGACAGCATTCGGTGGGAAAATAGTCGGTCTTCCAAGTACTATGCAAGCTACCTAAAATTAAGCTAACAGGTAGGACTCCAGACCACTTATAAACGAACACACATCAGCAGATTCAAAGATGCTTGTTTTTCTCAATTTAATCTCAGTTAGGGACAAATGCCATACAAGATAACTATAACACTAATTTAGGAGCCATAATGTTCTCTGCTTAGGAACTAGACAAGTATATAAGTAGAAAATAAATCTGTTATATTTTGTAGGCTCTCTTCTTCTACATTACTAAACCCCAAAAGGATAACAATAAAGACAAGAACTCTTATTAACCTGATTCTTTCTTTTTCAGTTTGTCTAACATTCTTTGAATGTCTCTCCCTTTGGCCTTTTATTATATTTCTCATATGTATACTTCTGATCTGACCATAGTTTCCACAAGGTGGACACTTCCTCATCATTATCATAATTTAATATTTATACAGAATCCTGAGTGTATGTTACACTTTACAAAAGACAGAATGTGCCAAGCAAAGAACATAATCTCTTGGCCCAAGGTACTGACTCCCTTCAAACTACTCCAACAAAACAGGAAGCAGTACCAGTATAAAGGGTAAACAAAGCTTTCCATTAGCTAAAATGAGTGAACATTTATATAAGCAATTGAGACATACTAAAAAAATATGGGGAACAATCATAATAAAATATTTATTATTTTGAAGATATGGTTATCAAGACAAAAAGTTGAATGTGCGACAGCATTCTCCCTTGATCATAAATATGGTGTGGATCTTTTTGCCTTACAAGAGCCCTGTGACTTATTAACAAACAATCCAAAGTCTCTGTTTTGTCTGTGAGGACAACCCTGTGATTTTTTTTCTCTTTATAAAGGATGTATTACAACCACCACCATAGCAAGCCAGCCCTAAACAGCATTATCGTTTAAACACACAGTAAATGAGAGTTCATACAGACTATAGTATTATATTTCACTGAGGTAAGAAAGATAAAGAAATGGGTTCCAATTCAGATTTAGAAAAAGAGTCACAAATGTATATTAAGGTCTAGCCCCAAGTTGTCAGATGTTTGCCTGCACCCTTCATACATGTAAAATTGCACCAAAACCTGTTATGAAAATAGTTACTCCAGAGGCTAAGAATGGATAATTAATGTGAGCCAAAACCACTGTAAATTTATTTCAGTTTAGAAAAGCAAAGGGAAATGGGAATCAAGTCATAGAATTGAATTCTGTTAAATTACTAAATATTTGCTGAAAATTAACATAGAGCTGTTGGCCAGCTGGCTTAAAAGTCTTAACTATGAAGGAAAAAGATCTACAAGATGCTACTTGTTTATGGCAGAAGCCTTACAAACTTGAGAACATAAAATAAGACTGAGCTAAACACAAATATTAAAAGGAGTAATTCTTCAGCCATTTCAGAAGGATATTATGAGAACAAGGTTATGAATTATTACTTCACTATCTCAAATTCTAATTTCACATGGTGAAATAAGAAGAGATCATCAAGATGTGTTCCAAATGTAATAATATCAGCTGAAAGTTAACAATTTTTGAGTATTTTCTATGTGCCACGTAATAAGCTTAGCACTTTGCACTTTACCCAATTTAATCCTCACCACAACTCTATGAGGAACATATTATTATTAGCTCTGTTTTACAGAAACTGAGGCACAGACTTTAAGCAACCTGCCAAGGTCACATATTAGGAAATGGTAAAGCCAAATACGAATTCAGATAACCTGTCTTCAGAACCAACAATTTCAGTATACTATACAACTATATCAGGCTTTCTCAATAGCAGCACTATCACTTGGGTCAAATAATTCTTTGTTGTGGGGGGTTGTCCTGTGCATTGTTAAGATGCTTAGCAGCATCCCTGGCCTCTACCCACTAGATGTCAGTAGCTACACTCTCCCCATCCCCCTCCCAATTTGTGACAACCAAAAATTTCTCCAGACATTGCCAAATATTCCTTGGGGGAAAAAAATCCACTCCATACCATGAGAATCATTGAGCTATACTAAAATGAAAACACAAGACCCAATTTAAAATATTACTGCCTAACTTTTTATTCACCTCTTAAGCTCCTACCACCCCAAATATCCACAAAACCTTTCTGTTGATAACATCTACAAAGTCAAACAGATTTGTTTTCCAAATTGAAAAAAAGCCAATGCTGGGATTTGTGAAGGGACGGACCACATTACTCTCTCCTTTAAATTACAAACTAATTGAGAAATATACACAGGAATTAGGAATCAAAAGACTAGTTATTGCCAATAAAGCTGGACTAGAGACCACATGCAAATACAAAGAGAAACACACTCAGACCTTTGAGCAGAAGATTATAACAGAAAAAGTGATCCCTTTTTCAATTTTATTATGCAGAAATCACCCTGCTGGAAAGTTCCAGCAAAGAAGTAGAAAGGTAGACGTTCTCTTCTACAGGTAGCACTGCCAGTAGGGGAAAAAACGTTTCTTCCTACAATCTTTTTCGATGCTTTATAGTTCATGCCTTTTAAGTTCCTATAACTAACTTACCAAAACCTTCCGTCTGGACCTTACTTCCCTTAACTTCATTTTCTCTTAATATATCAGAACATTCACCATCTATCAGCACTCAGGATATACAGAGTCTCAGCCTACATTACATTAAGCTTTTAGAGGCAAGATGCTGCCATACATCCTTTACTCAGACACCAACCAACATTAAAAAAAACACACCATTAAACCAGTAGATCTGCAATTAAAAAAAAAAATGCACCCATCTCCGATTCCTTTAATCTTCTCCAGTAATTTACATGTTTGGTTTGTATTACATTAATTTACATTTATTGGGGGCCAACTCCACGCAAAACACTATTCTAAGCACTAGAACACAAAATAGATAGGAGTAAAGCTTTTTATTCCAACGCAAAGACAATGAGACACTTAACATTTCTAAAGGGCAAGTCTTCTGTATGTTCTATATTTTCCCTCCTTGCTACTGCCAAGAAATCAGTACAGTATTCTGCTTATTCAATAACTGATTAACAAGCTGGACAAGAAATTTACTATGACAGTTACCCATGTAAACAATTAACTAAAAAAGAAAACAGAGCTAAAACCAATCCTTTTCTACTTCTAGATTTCAACCTTTTAAGATGGGAATCACCACCATTAGATTATTGTGTGCCAGTATTTACATTTACAAGCATTAATCCTACACTTAATGCCTCCCTACTCCCACTTCAGGGCTTGTCAGCTAATTGTTCTTTCTTGAAAGAGTCTTCCCATACAGAAGAGTTCACTGCAAGTATACAGTCCACATTTCTTAAGAGAGTCAGAATGAATACTACATTTCTAGAAAATTTGGACTGAATGAAAGCCAGGAGTTACAGAACAGATTGTGTGGACTACCAAAGGTTATCTTTTAAAATGGTTCAATGAATAGAAGGGAGCCAACTGAGAGCTTCTACATATTTTAACTATGACTAAATTAGAATTTTTAAAGCATACACTAAAACCTGGCATCCCTGAAGTTGTTTTACTGTGTGTTTAACCCCTAAAGACTTCCTGTGAGCCGTTCCTTATGAAATAATTCCTTTCCCGTCTCTTGAATGTGGCAGTCATGACTGCCAACATAAAGAACTGTAACTATTTTTAGTAACTTCACAAAGCATTCATGAAGCTTTCTAAACATGGAAAAAATTTTCCTTTCAAGAAATACAAGTTCTGCTCTCTTCGAAAGATCAAACCATATAATTCTCAGATTTATTTCAGGTCATTTGGCTTGTGACAATTAGCTAGAATCATATACGATTTTATAATTCTAAATGAAATTCCATTTGTGACCCACCTCAATCACTCAGAAAGTCTATTCAGCAAAGGCCAAAACAAATGCCAGTAGCCACGCATCCTGCCCCACCACGGAGAGTTTTGATACCAGGACAGAACATAAATAATGGCCTTCTTTGTCTTCCTTCTACTCCTTAATTGCGCCCCACGGCGCAGTTTCCTCAGTGCCAGAATCCTTATTTGACACGAGGCGTTTAGAAATGTACTACTGGTTGTGCCCGAAAGCGATTATTAATGTATTAGCAATAACTTTGCAGAAGATACACGCCCACACTAGAGAAAGGGCTGTGTACCCTCCGATAGTCAAAATTCCTCGCCCGCTGTCCGTGCACTCGGAGTTTTGCACGCTGTAGAAGTCCAAAGGCCACTCCATCCAGACGTCCATCTCGAAGCCGGCAAGCTTTAATTTAAAGAGGGGAGGGAGGACTGCTGAGAAAAGAAGGACCTCTCTGAGAAAAGAAGAGTGACCCCTCCCCACGTCGCAAGCGGAATTTACCCCCAATAACGGCTCTATGCCGAGGGACGAGCAGGCTACGTCCGGAGCCCCTCCTCTCGCTCCGGGCTAGGCCAGAGGCCCTCCTCAGGCGCGGGTCGGAGACCTCCTCACACCAGCTGGCAAGGCGCCCGTTCTCGCCGCCTCCTCGCCTTCTCCAAGAACGCCCGCCGCCCCGACTCCGCTCTCGGCCAGGCTGAGAAACGCCCGCGCGCCCACCTACCTCAGCCGCTAGTAGCCCGGCCCCTCAGCGCGCCCAAGGGCTGCCCATCGGCTGGGAATCTCACGCTGGCGCCGCTCCCTTCCCAGCCCGCCGCCTCTGCACTACGCGGAGCAGAGCCCGAGACAGAGGGGCAGGCGGCGGCGGCGAGGTGGGCGCTGGCTCCCAGCTCCGGCCACGGCCACTATGCAAGGTCCTGCCTCAGACCGAGGAAGAGGCCGCCACAGCCACAGCCCTGTACTGCGAGGGGCGGCGTGCGCGAGCTCGCGAGGACCGCGCACGCGCACGCACACGCTCACGCACGCACACGCTCACGCACATCGCGAGACCCAATCTCCCGCCGACGACCCGCACGCAAGCTTGGGAAGGTTAGCCCGGGGACCCAAGCTGCGCTTGCGCGGCGTGGGGACGGGCAGGAGGCGGGGCTCAGGCCCCAGCTACTGCGACTTTGCTGCACATCGTGCGCTGAAGCTGAAGGAAGCCAACACACCAAGAGAGGGATAACTTCTTTACTTACGTGTAGCGATTTTCACCCCAATTCTGTGATGTTGGAACTACTACTGACCCCATTTCTCAGATTACAGGTCTAATAAATGGTGGAGTTAGGATTTGAACCCAGCAGCCTTGTCCAGAAGCTGCTTTTAATCGCTGTTGGCAAAAAGATGTATTAATGCTTTATTGTGCTAGGTGCAGCCCAAAGCATGTTAAAAGGACTCAGCCTCTGCCCTTTAGCTGCTTACTAATGGGTAGGGTGAGACCTCCACTTGCAAACAAAATGAGGAATATTCAAATAATATGAGATGTTCGGACGCTCAGGCCAAGAATCATATGATAGTGAAAAGCCTCCTTTTGTGGAACGCTCCAATTTTTAAAAGTTTTTACATCATGACCTCCTCAGAATTGCCATATTCTTCATTCCACCATCACAGGAAGGGATGGGACAAGTAGTTTGCTTACAAACTCCGCCACTTTAATGTAGTTATTGTGAGATTTCTGACATATCAGTTACCCCAAACAAGCCACTTAGCAGAAGGGATTAGTTTTCCCAGTTCCTCCGTCCATGAATTCGATGTCAGAAAGGAAGGGATCCAGAAAGGAAGGCCGCTGAGAGGAAGACACTTGATTAGGCGGTGTGAAGAGGCTAGAGGCAGGTGCTTGTCCTTTTTGCCCAGGCAGTGAAGACTAAGGAGATAATTCTTAGCACTGAGTTCTACTACCAGCACAGTACTTTTGGCCTGGTGCGGCTGCCGACAGGAAAGAAAGGAGGAGCAACAACGTTTCCAGGTGAACACACAAGCCAGGAGGGAAACCAAATACAGTACATAAAACAGGTCAGCCCATTCATTTTCTGGCAGGCAGGGTTTCATAACACGATTCTAAATATCATTCTAATTACTCCTACAAAATACTATAAAATAGGACTGATCGTACTAGTATTGTTCATATATAAAAGGTAAATTACCAATACAGAAAACAACTAAAATATGTACACAGATTTGAGGGCATATTAAGTAGCCTTCCAAAAAACTTCTTTAAAACAAGTTTTCTCTAAACAAGGCTTTTTTTTTTTATTCTTGAAGTGGAATTTCAGAATGCCTTGTAGCACTCCCATACCATATCATGACTGTTCCAGATCCGTTAACTCTAAACTTTTGTCTGAGATAGCATTTGCATATAAAACCACTTAAGAAACAGAAACTTGCATACTAACAAGGTCAAATGATTTGCAGGCGCAATGGAAAAGTAGCCAGAATAACAGACGAAGTCAGACATTGCTGGGTTTGAATGCTTTTCTGCCATTTGCTTCCTATGGTACCTGGGGCAAGTCACTGCTCTTTCCAAAAGTTTCCATATGTGTGAAATGAAGACAATGTCCTCCTTGTAGGGCTGTGAAATTAAATGAGTTAATAAGTGAAGATAGATGTGGATTTAAATCCTAGGTCTACCACTTACTAGTTGTGTGACTGTGGTCAAGCAATTAGTCATTTCAATTCAGTATATGTTTATTGAATGCAAAGTACTAGGATACAGGACAGACATAGTCCCTGATCTGAGAAAGTTTACATTCTGGTGAGATAGACAAATACTCAAACAGATAATTAGAATACAGTGTTAAATGCAATGATCTGGTGTTTTCTGATAATTATCTCAGGTTGGTCTTAATGAGGTGCTATACTACACACAACACAGGTACAATGTACAACTAGTGCTGAATGTACAGGCTTTTTCAGGAGCACAGCCATTTATCACTTCATTTGCAACAAGAGCACACTTTAAATGTCACACTATTTGACTTATCTCCCAAAATTTCTTCTTCAAAAGTGTAGCCCCTTGAAATATAGTTTGGACTCAATCTAACATTTTTCATTCCTTCTCCAACAGCTTCAGCCTGGCTCAGGGTAGGCCAGATCATACATACAAATCACCAGTTAATAAGATTTTTGAATGATAAATGATGATTGTATACATGTGAAAGGAAGGCCATGAAGAGTATTCGTCTAGAGCTGGCTGCCTCTAAAGACCTTCCAATTGAGGCAAAAAGTGTTCTTAAATTACTTTAATATGAACAGAAAGATATACATAGAAAAAATGAATCTCACTTTCTACACTGACTGTCCTTGTTAGGTATATGACTTATAGCAATATTGACAGGTATAGCAATACTGAAAGATAGCATAAGAAAACCCACTCCCATTCACCCATTGTAATGATAATAATATTAATATTTACTGAATGCTTACCATATGCCAGGCACTGTCTTTATAGGCTTTAATGCTTTATGTGTATTATTTCTCCTCATCATCACAACAACTCTGAGAGATAGGTATTATCATATCCCCATTTTCTGTATGAAAAAACTGAGACTTTGAAAGCATTTAAGCAACTTGCCTAAGGTTGTCCAAGTACTCCCCAATATATGTGAATTTATTTATAATTATGTCTATAAACTGTTAAAGCAATACTGTAACAATATATCATATACAATGTATCATGTAACAACATATTATAAAATCCACTAAAAAAAAATTTAAAGGATGAGATTTAAAAAGAAATACAAATAGAAACTCCAGTATTTTCATCCTGCTTTTCAGTGGCTTACTATGCATGTGCCCCATTTTGGAAACCACTGCTTTAGATCACAGGCAGTCAAAATCCAAAAGCAAAAGAAAGTGAAGATTATCAGTGGTTTTCAAACTTGAATGTGTATCACAGACTCATTACCACCCAAACATAATAGCAACATCAGACCAGTAAAAAGTTACAGAGGAACTTGTGCTCTCTTCGAAGCTCCCAGGCATCCATTCCCTTGCTCTTTCTGCCACGCTTTCCAAATTTGAGACTCGGGCCCTGGGCTGGTTTGGGGGATGGCAGAACTCTTTTTCAAAAGTCTACAGTATAGTTCTGGGAGTCTCAGCTCCCAGAAGACTCCCTTAGGCAAAGGCATGGAGAGAAAATATTGCCTTCAAGGATCCTTGCACTGGCTGGACCCACGTACCTGAGAGCCTCCCAGGAATTCAGGAATAAAGACCAAGGACACTTTAACAGCCAAGGCTGCTAGAAGTGCCTGCAATTAAAAGATGGCTGCTAAAAATCTATCTACTACCAAGTGCTAAGTTCAAAGGACATGCTTTTTCTGTGGAGAAAGAGCATATTTTTCGTACTGAATCCTCACATTTTCTTTATTCCATAATAGGCAAAATTGTGAAAAGGGAATAATATTCAAAACATGGACTACCAGGTATTTCCATATATTAAAAATGATTAGGATTTTTTAAATTCTGAAACTCTAGCTTTTACAGAAGTCCTAATAATATCTGAGAGAGTAACTCTGCGTTCCAGTTCTCCAAAGGGGTTAAAACTTTTTTTATTTCATACTTTTTTTTTTCTCCCCAACAGAACAAGGTTAACGCAAATTTAGAATTTCTTTTTAAAGGCTTGAGCTTCAAAATCATAAACTCCCATAAGCTGATGCCATATTTGGAAGAGAACAACATCAAGAAAAATAATCAAAAGTAAATTCCTCACCAGTCATGTGATTTGACAGTATGCACTTATATATACATACACACCAGCTAAGCCCTAAGGTATTATAAAGGTGAGACCATTAATATTGTGGGGATTTTGCAAAGAATACATTTGTTTATACTTTTTCCTCACATTTCTACTTGGATTCCTGCCCGAGGAAAATTATAAGTTGATTTACAGAAAAAAAGGACCTTCGAATATCTGCAATTGGTAACATATTAGGGAATCTTTTACCTAGTGGGGGAAATGTAGCTACCTTTAGCTCCAGAGAGCTGGCCTAAGAGCAGAGCATATGTTTCATTAAGCAGTGTGTAAGAAGATGTTGTTATACCAAGTTAAACGCCTCATTCCAATGAGTTTTATTAAGGTTTTCTGATGATTACAACACCTAAACGGAATAAAAAGTTAAGACATTCCCTCTACCTCTCCACACATAGTCATTCACTCTCTTTCTCTCTCTCTTTGTATTTACGTAAATACACATCTTTTTTAAAGATTAACTTCAACTTATCATGCCAAAAGCAGAAGACATAAGAAAATGCCAGTAGACTCCAATTCTTACATAAACCTGTGTACCAAAATGTGAAGAACTGGTAGCTTCAGACTCAAATCTAAAAGGAAGAGTATGCTCATGGACCGCATTGGGCTAGCCACTCAGAACTCTTGCCTGCTATAAGAACTTAGCATCCATCATCTATAAAGCACCAAAACAGGCATTTTACTAAACAAAGTGTAGCTTTTTACCCTAGACTTCAACTATCATTTTTCCCCCAGCTCCTATCTTAAACAAGCACCATGTTATCTATCACTAAAGAACGTTAGCAGATGGTTTTATAAAGCAAAGCAAGGCACCATAGGGAAAGAGCAAGGCACAGCCAAGTTACAACGTTGGAGGCTCTGCTTTCTAGCTTGTGATTCTTAAGATGCTGGTGTGTTATTCAGAAGCGTCCCCACAGCTGACTTCATGGGATTTATAAATCCCAGGTACTCAAAAGCTGGTTCTGCTCAAACAAACAAAAGCCTCTTAACACATAGGGGCTGCCTGCCTCAAAAGGATTGCAGTCACAGGTACACTATGACTACCAGCTGAACACCATGTGTACACCAACAAGGCTGATAAGACATGAAATATGTCAAATAATAAAGTGTCTAAAAGGAGATGGAGAGAACTTAGCCATTATCATTTCATTCTATATTTCCATTTCATTCTAG